TCCTTTCCCAGTTAGCCGTGGTCTATCGATGTACATATAATCAGATGGAGTAATCAAATTAAGATTTAGAAAGTCATTTTGCTGATGCCAAGTTTCACAAATACAGAAGAAATCAAGTTTTTTGTCCAAGATGATGTCGTGAAGTAGTGCAGTCTTATTGTTCAATGAACGAACATTAAAATGTGCGAAGTTCAAAGAGTCAAGCCGCACTTTCTTAGAGCAGTTAGTAGTTATTGGAGGATAAGATAGATTTACAGAGCAAATGCCACGGCGAGAGTGAGTCTGAATACCGAGACGCACAGAGCTGGAACAAAAAACTTTAACTCCAACACGAGTTGTATAAAAACTCCGCCGTGACCCTCTGTGACAATACTTCGGTCGACGCAGAAGCTGAAGCGACCGTAAAGTTCTTTGAACACAAGTTTCAGGAGGCAATTCATGTTTCAATGAAAGGAGTTCAGAAACAGAGTACCTTATCATGTCAAGATCCAAGTGCTGAAGGATCCGCTCACCACACACTCCAGTCAGAGTTAAAATGAAGATGACAATAGTTATCAAGCAGATGCGCATGATAGGAGAAATAGATCCAGTAGGTTACACGAAGTAATATCCAAGTACGTCGAAACTCAGCACCGTAGAAGGAGGAGTACAAGATCCAAGACACGAAGCAATGTCAAGCTCCGGTCAGACTCACGGAACCGAGAGCACCAACGTAGCAGTCGTGAACGATGGCAAGCACCACGTAAATCCACACGGTAAAATCCAAATTCGCAGGGTGGCAAGTGTCAGACACAATGATACAAAACAATGTGTAAAATAGTAAAATGTAAAACAATTTAAAACAAACAACCAAACAAACATAAACCGGACGAAGAAGCGGCAGCCACAATGCCTAAATAAAAATTTATTTCAGACGTAGGATATCAGACAATCTAAGATTTGGTCAAAACATGGTTGAAACATTAGGAGCACAAAAATTCCACAAGAGGCCCAAGACAACAGGATGTCATAAATCAGACCCTAGCCAGTCTGAAGCAAGCCTAAACCACTCTTTCACAGAACAGTTTTCAACATTAACACAAAAGAACACTTATTGACAATTGGAAGGAGATTGTCAATTTTGGGGCAAGTTATCAAGAATAATGGTCAAAAGAGATGCACAGCGTGACCGTCACATGGAAACATGTGATAGTGATCACAAGCTCTTAGGATTGACTTTTCCCCCCACCTCACGACAAAGAACAGACTTTCGGAAATTCCCTACAGACCTCTTAATCTCTGGCCTTCATGCATTCACAGAATGGCACGGAAACTGCCTTTCCATGAACCTAAATGACACTAAAAGGACCTGAGCAACTAATCATTTATAATCAATTGACATCAAAATATATAAATATATTTTTAACATTATCGAAAATTGCATCAAACAGACTGAAACACACGGGGCAAAATAGTCGTGTATTTGTCATTTCGCTTTGTAAATTGTGCAAAATTTCTCATGCTAGTTGCCCAGAAACGAGTTAACCAATAATATTCTTCCAGCTCGATCTAGAGTCCATATACGGATATAACCACTGCAGTAGTCAAACCACCAATCCGCAGAACCAACCACAAGCCTGCACCTGTTTTGTTATGTACGTAAAGACTGAAAATGAAAACTGAAGCTTTGATTTTATTGTGAAGAAATCTTCACAATACAATCGTCACAATATCTTCAAACCACTGTTCAACTGTTCATTATTTTGTAGCGGATGTATTATCTTTACTCACCGAATAAACCCCTAGTATAAACTTAATTTACAAGCCACAAAGTGAACAATCAATATATCGTTCATTTTCGTTTTTAAAGTTGTAAGATATTATTTAAAAAATATTATTGTTTATAGACCCAAATATAGCTATGATGTTACATTTAAACGCCTGTTACAATTTGATAATGTCTAAAATTCTCACAGGAACATATTTGTCATAATTTAGCTATGCCTATATATGGGATTTTTTTTTACCTGACATGCCCTGTTTGAAACCCAAGTGATTGTGCAGAACGGAGCATAAGATTGGTAAACATTTTCGGAAACGCTTCGATAACAGGCTTTTATGTGGCCGTGAATGATTAAATGCAATACATGAATGACTGTTTTTCCTTCATATGTGTAGCTGGTATTAATGTTTGCTTGCAATTTCAATGCTTAGGTAAAATTAATTATATTTATAGCCAATCTAAAATGTTATATTTAAAAATATATTTTTCGTTAAACCAACAATGTTTTTTTTAATCGAATTAGGCTATAGGGAACACCCAATTATAAAAGTATATTTTTATATTTATTTTAATACAATACATACAATTATATTATCTTCATCCTTTATTCTAAAATTTAAATATAAAAAAATAACATAAATAAATAGCCTAGAATGAAATAAATAAAAACAATTGTTTGATCTAAAAAAAAAGCGATGTTAATGGAGACAAGTCTGGCCTCGTTGTTAGGGGAACCATTTAAGAGGTTACCTATTGTAGTGCATTTAGTAACTCTTGTTAATAAAAAGTTCATATTTATGAAATGTTCCATTCGCATTATTGTGCTGTATTTTTCTTGGTTTAGTTGTCTTTAGCAAAAGTTAGCGTTGTTGTCATCTTTTGCGTATTGTAATAACTAATAAGATATTAGTATCATCTTGTAACTTTATTTCAGTAATTAAATTGGTATTTAAATAAATAAATAAATAAACAAAGTATAAAATATAAATCTACAATGGCGCTGTTTAATCAGTTTGATTTTTATTCTAATTTTGACATGCAAAAATGTAAATCAATTAATTTGTATTTATTTAAAATTTTTTATTTTCGAAAGAGCCATAGTTGAATACAAACTTAAATATTCTTTAGTCATTTTGAGCAGACGTGTGAGCTAAATGTAGGCTACTGGATAAAACATAAGTATGTTGTTTTGTTTTGTTTTTTATAAAAAAAAGTAACACAAATCTAACGTGGCAAAGTAGGTTACCTTATAATTTAAATAATCATTAGCATATTCACAAATTCAGCCCGTTCTGTTTATTTAACGGCTTTTAAAAAACGCATAGCCTATAAGACACGAAAAGAAACAATCATTTTGTACAGGCTGTTATTCTGCCGTAGAACTCATATTCAAACCAATATTCATTTCCATCCATGATTAGTTTGTTGTGGATAAAGACTTCATGTTTGATTTTGGCGGGATTAGTAAAATAGTCTTGTGAATAGCAGAATATTGATCAGAATAAGATGGCATACATTTTCCTATAATAACAAACGTACAGTAGCCTATATCAAAATAGCTAATAAATAGCCTGTTTGAGAAAATATGTTGCCTATAGCATACACGTCCTTGTTCCGCTAACGTTAAATTGATTACGTTTTCCTGTAGTCTTGGCGTAACGTTTACGATGGAACTTTAACCTTCTGATGTGTTCAATTAAGTATTGACCAGATCTTATCATATTTCTGTCAAGAATACAGATATGTCACTAAGAGCAAGCCCCGGCCACTTAGCAACAGCGGAGCCAATAAACGGCCTCCAAATCTTTCCCCCTACAAGCGGTGCCAAGGCAACATGCTAACGAACGTGATGACGTCTGGCTGTGCACGAGAGTATTATGGGCTGTATGGAATTCTGAAGCTAGAGCAGGCGGACCGGACTCGCGCTCACGGCTAGCTACGCTGCAAGCTAACGGTAGACGAAGGTAAACATGGAGCTGTCGGCTGTCGGAGAGAGGGTGTTCGCGGCCGAATCGATCATCAAGAGAAGAATACGACGGGTATGTGTTGTGGAAGAGATATCTCGACATTTTTTGCATATAACAAGTTATGTGCTAATGTCGTCGGCTGGCGCTAACGAATTCTTTTTTGTGTGTGTGTCTGATGGCACGCGCAGGGTCGAATGGAATATCTCGTGAAATGGAAAGGCTGGTCACCCAAGTGAGTAATACATGCCCATCCTGTCTGTTGTGCTTTGCGCTGGTGTTTTGGTGACAGTGATGGCCGTCAACCCTGCTAGATATCGCGAGGGGCGTACATCCACGGGCAGGTTAACAATCTGGTTATTACTGCAGACTGGTTTTGGCAGATGGCATGCTGCAACATTAGCTGGCCCTGCTAGCTGAGCAGTGGTTTAAATGCGGCAGGAGATTGACAGTCATCACGTGAAACTTTTTTGTTCTCACAGGTACAGTACTTGGGAACCAGAGGAAAATATCCTAGACTCGCGCCTGTTCGTTGCCTTTGAAGAGAGGTATACAATAAATAAATAAAGAAGTAGTAAAACTATTAGGCGGCCGAAAATACAGACGTTTTCACACATGCGCTTGCATTTTCATGCAGGGAGCGTGAGAGAGAAATATTTGGACCCAAGAAAAGAGGACCTAAGCTCAAGACTTTTCTTCTAAAGGTTAATGTAATTTATTTATTAACAAATAAACAATTTCACCAAGATGATTATTATTATCTATATTGTGTATACATTTTTTTTCATTTAATCTTCACAAAAGTTATTGTGTTTGCACTCAATTTTTTGTCTGTGTAAATGAATACATTTTATATAAGGGCATCATTTTGAGTTCTGCACTAATTTTTCAAAATCATTACATTTTACAGGCCCAAACTAAAGAAAAGGCAAAGTCTTACGAATTTAGAAATGAATCATTCAGAGGCATTACATATCCCAGTCCAGAGCCTGTAGTAACCCCTAGAGCAAGAGAGGGACTACGTGCTGTAGTTCCCTCAATTTTCCCTCCCAGCACAGTCAACCGAGGGGAGAGTGTAAGGATTCCACCTCCAGAACCAAGGGAACATCGTTCTCCACACTCACCCAGACCCAGCACTGATGCATTTACCCTCGCCCCAAAAAAGAGAGGACGGAAGCCCAAATTACGCTTCACAGATGGCTATACAAGCTCCTTAAATCCAGAGCATTTAAAAAGAGCAGCAGACGAAACCATGGCAAGCATTCCTTCCAAAATGGCAAAGTTAGGTTTGGGAGAAGAGGAAGAGAGATGTTCAGAAATAAGTGGGAGAATTAAGATATCTCACAAGCACATGGATGCTACCTATTCACACAAACAAAACAGAGTTGTTCCAAGCAGGAGTACCCAGCATATTTCTCCAGAGTGGAGTTTGCATTCCAGCAGAGTTAGTGCAGACTTACAGGGATGCAGGAATAATCCACAGACAAGCCACTTTCATCATAAACACCTGAAGTACCATTCAAAACGAAGAATATTTGAACATGCTGATTCCACCAGCAGACACCCTTCACTTATTGCCAAAATTCCAGTGTCACGCATATTTGGAGAGCCAGAGGAGGGAGATGCTTGGAGACCCTCCTTCAGCAATGTGGAGAAAGTCATAGTTACTGATGTGACGTCAAACTTCCTGACTGTAACAATCAAAGAGAGTAGCACAGATAAAGGCTTCTTTAAAGACAAAAGATGATTATTTACTGCCACCAGTATGCTCCTTCCATCTCTTCAGAAGTCCTTTATTGTCAAAAATATTCAGTGTATTGTATATAAAAAAAATCTTTTTCCGTTTTCTGTCACACTGAAATCTGTATTTATTGTGAAATTGCTGCTTTAAGAGATTTGCATGCACTAGACACGTTAAACAAAGCCAGAACTGCGTTCAAATACATACAGTTCTCAGATCATTTGTTGTAAATATGTATTAATTACAAATTGTTTACCTAAATATATAAAGTTTCATTTGTCTCCCAGACGAATATTAAAAACGTTTATGTACAGACCAGGAGTTGACGTTTTGCACACTAGCTGTCATTTTTGCGTCACATTACGTTTTCTATTCTTGTAATTTACGTTGATTTTATTTAGTCATTTAATATTGTCATTTACCTTGTACACTTGTTGGACGAAACAGCGACTTTAACAATTTATGCAAATAAAAGTGTAAAATGAAAATCTAATTTTCATCTTTAACTCAAAAGTCAAATGTAGAATAATGAACACGTTTCTTTTGTATCTCTTCAGCTCAAATTCGTATTCAGAGATATTTATTAATGTTAAATTGTATAAACTTAGACTTCTAATTATTTTGTAGGGCGATTTTGTAGTTGTGATTATGAATTGTGCGAATAAATGTTCTTTAATATGACGTTAAATAGAAAAGCGCACATCCCATGTCCATACTCGAAACATACTGAATCATAATTTTACAAATAGGATAATATAATAATATATATATATATATATATATATATATATATAAATAAATGGCAAAAACACAATAAAATATTTAAAACTAATTAAATTATTAAATAAAAATTTAAAAATTAAAAAAAAATAATATATATATATATATATATATATATATATATAAATAAATGGCAAAAACACAATAAAATATTTAAAACTAATTAAATTATTAAATAAAAATTCTAAAAAATAAAAATTAATATATATATATATATAAAATATATTAATAAATAATTATAAAAGCTATAGTAGTATCTCAGTTAATAGGTGTCACAAATAAATAAATAAATATGAATTACACATTGTACTCGGTAGAATTTCATTACTGTCCAGCTCTTTATATAGAGTTGGGTAGATAAGTAACTTTTTTGGATTATAAATAAACGAATGCACTCTGAGACACAGCAAAAGCCGTTTTAAGCGGTTCGATGCAGCTGAAGCGTGTGACTTTAAGACGCACCTCAAAGTCTTGGTCTTTGACTGACGTGGAGTGCCCAACAAGGACCTCAGTGAAAGCAGAGCCTTCATTTCCAATGTCTATGCTGTGAATTTGCTCTTCCTTTTCCAGCTGGAGAAACAAGACACAAAGGTTAAAGTCCCCCTGTAGTGAAAATCAAGTTTTTTATGTTGTTTATTTGTCTATGTGGTGTTTTTAATATGCTTTTAGACAAACCATGCGCCAAACTATTCACTTGTGCTACGTCACAAACCCATAACCAATCACGTCAAGGGATCGATTCACATCACTAGCATGCAGAATATACCAATACCAGCACAAAACCAAAAATAAATCAGAGCAAAAAACCCATGAAGCTGTGGTTTAATGTGAATTTAGAACCGCATTTTAGGACACAACATCGTCAAGTAAGTGACTTTAACGAATGTTACAGTATTCACTGTAGTTGTCCGCTAGTAAAAACATAGTTTTATCAGTTATTATCCGTGTATGCCATTGTTTTGCAGTTACTACGGTTCAGTGGGTTCAGGAGGCGGGGCTGTGTGACTGAGTGGAGGCGGGGCTAATTTGCATATTCATAGATCC